TACCACCAGATTCCAAGCCAAGTGCCCTAATCACCTGGACACACTGCGTCTACGATCATAATCATGACGATTAGGGGAAAAACATACACGCACCTGCACGTGTCACACACCCTCTGGAAAGGGAGGATCGATATGCCTGACATAATTCCCTCTGACCACGAGAATATGGCCATAAATGGGTGGTATATGCATAAGCCTCAAAGCTAATTTATCTTTCCTGTGTGACACTAAAGGTCCTGCACTTCCTCGATCTCGTTATCAAAGTTCCCCTTGGAGTGAAGTCTCCTTCGAGCTGGTTAATTCGGATGTCTCACAAATTTTAGCCCCGACATACCAAAGAACGGCCGCAAAGGAGACACTTTAATTCAAAGCGTCTATGACATCCAATTTAATGTTATGATACCCATTTTCAGATGATCAAAAACCTCAGATTGTTCAAGATCCAAAGAGCCAAAGTGCCTCGATCGGTTCCAATGCTACATTTAGCTGCACTGCAAGGGGCTTCCCGAGGCCAACAATCCATTGGAAAAAGGACAATGCTTCATATCCTTTACAGTCTAACCCCAGAGCGAGTGTTATTCAAGACAGGCCAAGGAATCACAGCCAGCTGTTCATATCGAGAGTGGAAATGGGAGACTATGGAAAATATCAATGCATTGCAAATAACAGGATTGGAAGAAGTCAATCAGGTGTGGCTATCTTAAACAAAGGTGAGAATTTTTTTTATTGAGAGGGAGAAATTGCCAATGCAAGTTCGGTTTTTGGATGAATGCTTCTGGTGTACAATTCTTTAAATTGATAAACATTCCTTTCATCAAAGGATCAAGAGAAAATGAACAGTATTTTCTGTAAATTGTTTTCACAAACTTTTACTTTCCTCCTTTCAGTTTCAGCCGCTTTTGCAATTGCACTTTCTTAGTCATCTCGTAATCAAGATCCCTCTTGAAGTGTAGTGCTATTTGAAACAGTTTTTCCGACATCCTGAAGAACGGCCACAAATGCGACAACTCCTGGCGTCACTGCATCCAAATGAGTCAAATACATTCCTTTTATGTCAATTTGCAGATGTCCAAAAACTTGAGATTGTTGATGGCCCAAAGAACCAAAGTGTCTCGATTGGTTCCAATGCTACATTTAGCTGCACTGTAAAGGGATTCCCGAGGCCAACTATTCATTGGATAAAGGACAATGCTTCATATCCTTTAGAGTCGAGCCCCAGAACAAGTGTCATTCAGAACAGCAACGAAATTCGCAGCCTGCTCTTATTAACAGGAGTACAGAAGGAAGATTATGGAAAATATCAATGCATTGCAAATAACAGCATTGGAAGAAGCCAATCAGGTGTGGCTTTCCTAAACAAAGGTGAGAATTTTTTTTTTAATTGATACGGAAAAATTGCCGACGCAAGTTCATTTCGGCTCTTTGATGACTGCTTCTGGTGCACAATTCCTTAAATTAATAACAACAGTTTTTATCAAAGGATCGAGAAAAAGTAAGCAGTGTTTTCTGTAAATTGTTTTAGCAAACTTTTACCGCCCTCGCTTAAGTCTCACCCGCTTCTGCATTAGCTTGGTCATCTTGTCATTAAGATCTCTTGAAGCTTAGTCCTCTTTGAAAGAATTTTTTCGACCATCGCATAGAATGTCTGGACATCATCAACTATTCACGAGCACTGAATCGCGGGGAGATTTGAATGGAATCGCACCTTGAAAAGCCCAGAATAAGAGAAGAAAGCACCGAAACTAACGAAGCAGTGTTTATAAAACTCGCTTTCCCAATAGCCGAAAGCGCGATGATCCCGAAGAACAGCTACTAATGACACAACTAATAACGTCAATGAGTCAAATACATTCTTTTTATGTTAATTTGCAGATGTCCAAAAACCTGAGATTATTGAAAGTCCAAAGAACCAAAGTGCCTCGATCGGTTCCAATGCTACTTTTAGTTGCACTGCTAAGGGCTTCCCGAGGCCGACAATCCATTGGATAAAAGACAATGTTTCATATCCTTTGGAGTCTAATCCCAGAGCAAGTGTTACTCTACACGGGCCAACGAATCGTAGTCAGCTGTTCATAACGAGAGTAGAGATGGAAGATTATGGCAATTATCAGTGTATTGCAAACAACAGCGTTGGAAGAAGCCACTCAGGAGGAGCTGTATTAAGCAAAGGTGATATGTCAGTTTGGAATAAAAATCGCGAAGGCCTGGATTTCACAAGTTTTTCCATCCTATGCACTCCTTCCCTATTCCTCTGCTGTTTTTTCGTCTTCTATCTTTGGCTTTCATTCATATCTTTTTCAAGTTATAATTCTGACTGATTTTTACTATTATCATTACTATTATAATAATTCAGTATTATTGTTATCATTGTTATTACTATTATTGTTGCCAATATAAGTAATGTTATTCTTCACATGCTTGAGATTTAAGACTTCAGACTCTAGAGAAATTTATACCTTTTTTTCATAATTTATCCACAGCAACTACTACCCCCACACCTGTCACGGAAAGACAGCTGGAAGATTCAGCATCCCGGACTACTATAATCGCTGTTTCATGCGCTTTGATAGCTGCACTTATTTGTGTAGTCATTGGGTTTTTGTGGAATCGGTGTAGAAATCGTGATAACATACATGCTCAATACACCCAAACCGTTGCGATTCGTATACGGTCGTTGACGAATCGTCAAACCGAAAGTCGAATCTTGCGTGAACATACCGGGTATTGAGGGGTGTGAGCAATGAGTGAAAATGATTAGCATGGTACGAGTAAATGAAAACATAAACTTCCCTCTTTCTTAAAGCGTGAAACGGCCGGAAGTCCGTTTTCATAATGTTATATTAGGTATGGGTCGCACTTGGGCAAAGTCAACTTTGCCGGCAAAAAAAACACAGAAAATTTGAAACGCAACCGGAAGGCAAACTTGGTTTCAACTATCAGGGTCGCACTAGGTGAAAAAAATGTCAGTGATGACACTCTGATAAATTAGACATACGTTTATCGACGTGTTATGGGTAGAGATCAGTGAGCTGTAAAAGGAAAACAAACGTTAAAAAAATGCGTCCCGTTGAAGCATTGTTAATAAGGATCGCGGTGATGCTTATTCTTCTTATTCAGTTAAATTACGAGCACTTTTTTGTCTTTCGTATGATCTTTGAAAGCTGGGTTAACGCCTGTTTAACTGTTTTTACTGCCGCTATGATGAGAGCGAGAAATCAACGTCAGCGAAGACTACTTAGAGCGCAATATGCCTGGTCAGTTCCGCGACCAATCGAATCGTTTGCTGTTTACTGACAAGCTATGACAGTTACCGCTGTGATAGCTATTGTTTAGCCCGAGTTTTACGAAATCTGCCTGCCCCACCCAAGCACTACGGCGTCTTTGATGTTTTGGCCGGTTTTCAAAGTTTTTGCGAACTGGAAAAGCTAGGCTCGCATTAGGCAACGTGCCCCGATGACAGATTTTTACACCAAAGTGACCACATTCACACCAAACCTTACCAAGTGCGACCCATGCCTTAGTTAAACAATACAGAGGTAGAAAATGTTGAAGAATCGACGCGATTCGCGCGGATCGACTAGACTCGTCCACAGTAAAGTAAATCCGTCTCACCGGGAGTCGAATGCAGAAAAACACAATAAACACTTACGCGTTGACGATTTGCACGGGTGGACTCAATAATTATAATAATGATAATAATAATAATAATAATAATAATAATAATAATAACGGTTTATTCACAGTATATCCACATAAAAAGGTGTGGCTCTTCATTTGTGAAGGCCTACGATACTAAAATTTAATAATAAAACTAATTTATAATGACTAACTAAATTGTAATAAAAACTATACATGAAAGTAAATATGCAGAATATATTGGTTGGTGGTGGTGGTTGTTTCTATATCTTTACAAGGAAGACAAAGCGCGCGCCTTCAAGAACGCCTTGCAGAGCCTGCAGTATTCTTTAAAATCTGTGCAATTCCTTATATTTGCTGGCAATTCGTTAAAAATCATGGCTGCTGAATGCTGAAAGGTGCCCTGTACAAATGGAACATAAAGCCTTGGAGCAACACTGGAACGGAGATGCCTAACGGGTTTAACGACTTGCAAATTTAAATGGGAGGGCCAGTTATCAGAATACAGTGCTTTAAAAATAGTCTTTAGTAGTGAGTAGTCCCTTAGCTCCAGGATAGGTAGCCAGCCAAGATCCAAAATGGTAGATATACTGTTTACATATTTACAAGTGATGAAACTAGCCATAGCGAACTGGAGCCTTTGTAGTCTAGCTGAGAGGAACTTTGGTAGTGGATAAAAAACAATGTCACAGTAGCTTATTTTAGACAGAATTAATGTTTCTACCAAATGTTTCCGTAGTTTAAAATTAGTAAAGTTCCTTATTTTAGGTTTTCTTAGAATTTAGGGCCAAGTTTGAGTCATTTGACCAGGCGCCGAGGCCTGCCAGGGTTGCATTCATGCTTTCCGCTTGAGATGTGATCTGCGGTGTAGAACAGCTAGTGTATAATGTTGTATCGTCGGCATATTGGAAACTTTTGACTGTAGGTGGAAGAATATCTTGAAGATCCGCGACGTAGAGATTGAACAACATCGGTCCAAGGATTGAGCCTTGGGGGATTCCAAATTCGGAGAGCACAGGTGACGATTTGCGATCATCAATTTGAACGTAATGTCTCGTGCCGCATAGGTAGTTAGCCAGCCATTCGAGGACATACTTTGAAAAACCGAGGTGATGCAACTTGGTTATCGCCGTTTTAAAACAAACGGTATCAAATGCTTTCGAAAAGTCTGCTAGTACCATAAGAGTTACCTCTTTCCTTTTCATGGCACTAACTAGGTCGTCCCTTATACCTAAGAGTACCGTGGAGGTCGAATGCCCCCTACGAAAGCTCGAGATGGTGTCTCTAAGGAGAGATTCTCCAGTGCAGAAATCAGTCATTTGCGAAGCAACAAGCTTCTCAAATACCTTAGAAAGTACGGGAAGAATCGACACTGGACGCAAGTGATCTTCCGAGACAGGTGTGTCAACTTTTGGAATGGGGCTGATACGCGCGAGTTTCCAGGAATGCGGGAAGTACAACTTTGAAATACAGTTATTGATGATAGTTGTGAGTGGGCCGGCCAAGCATCCAGCAGTCAGCTTTACAAACCGGGCAGGCAATTGGTCAGGTCCAGTCGAACAGTCACTGCGCAGTTGTTTAAGGGTTCGCAGGACTTCTCTTTGTGTAACACTTTCCAGGTGGAAGGCGCCCTCTTTATCCGTAAGACCGCGGATGAAATGTAAAAGTTCATCTTGGTTGGTCGATTCAACATCAAGCGTTCTCCTTGCAGTGGTAGCAAAATGAAGATTAAGATTGTCTGGGTCGAACCTTAAAGGCTGTCGACAGGGGTGGAGTACGCGGTGAACCATGCGCCAGTCTTCCTTAGATTTGTTGGACAGCAAAGCCTTTTCCATGAAAGCTTTACGAGCTTTACGTATAGCGATCTTTATTTTATTTCCTACTTCCCGGAAAGCAGACCAAGAAGATTCTGAATTTGACTGATGCGTTTCTCGTCTCAGTTTGTCTCTTTGTGACTGAAGGTTAAGTATTGTTTCGTTATCCATCCACAGGGCGGGAGGACGTGTCACACGGCACCTTCTGAGGGGTGCGTGCCTTTCAAGGCAGTCGTTAAACAAGGTGTTGAGAGTCTCTAATTGATAGTCAGGGTCATCAGTTGATGTTATTAGCGAAAATGGTAGTGCGGAGAAGTCCTCTGAGAAAGCTGTCTCATTTAAGTTCTTCAGGTTTCTGATGTACTTATATCTTGGTTGATATAAGTACGCGTTCTCTAGTTGTATGTATGTATGTAAATCTTTATTTAAACACCGGGAAATCATCAGTTAAGTTTAAGTTAAAAACTAATACTAATTACAACTGCTTTATATGATTGCCGTGTGGGAATCCGATATATTAACTACCTTCTTGATATTTGGCTTAAAATGCTCAACGGATGAAGTATCTTTTAAGCTTTTGGACAAGTTATTCTATAACATGGCCCTGCTGTAAGAGAAGCTTCGTTTCAAATAATTGGTGCTGTGCTTCGACAGGGTTAGCCTTCCCTTAGAGTTTTTTAAGTTGTAAGCAGAGTGACGCTAAGAGAAAAGATTTTTGTAGACATTTGGGAGTAAGGTCATTCATGATTTTATACATCATTAAGGCTTTTTGTTTCTTTCGTCAAAGAGATAGCCTCTCTCAGTCGAGGGTTGGGGAGAAGGAGGTTTGAGCTCGTATCAAACGGTGATTTAGTAATAAATCTGGCTGCACGATTCTGTAATTTTTGGAGCTTATCACTCAAGTAACCACTCAAACAGTCTCAGACGGTAGTAATAATCAAAATGAGGCATAATTAAAGCGTTATAAATTTGAATTGCAGTTTCTTTGGATATAAAATGCCGCACACGTTTTAGGGCGCCTAGAGCAGAAGAGAATTTGGTACAAATCACTTCAACGTGCTTACCCTAAGAGAGTTGAGTCTTATCGACTTGATCCAACTTGATCCAACAGTCATTAGCTCTGTTTTAGCAACGTCATAGACTGAGCTTGTTAGCTTCCAGACAACAGCTATGGTTATTTAATTCAGGGGTTAGAGCTAGCTTAAGCTCTGTTAACGTCATAGCAGATAACGTAAGATTGGTGTATTCGGCAAACATTCTTGATACGGCGCCCCGCAGGGAGTTGGGTAGATCATTAACGTAAATTAAGAATAGCAGAGGACCCAATATACTACCCTGAGGCACGCCGTAACTGAAAGTACGAGCAGATGATAGTTTTCCACTTACACTACATCTCTGCGTTCGACCACTTAAGTACGACAAGAACCACTTTATAGCTGCCAGATCGACACCCAAGTATGACACCAGTTAAGTCTATGTGTTCACTGTATGAACACTTAAGCGTCTGAGGTTAGTGGATGAAGGTTGTTAAATCTTGATGAATCTCCACGATTTTCACGGATCGAATCGAATCGTCTCAAGGATACTTGACTCGTCTCATACGAATTAGATAAATGAGCATGAACTTCTTCCGTCTAACATAGGAAGATAAGCGCACTATAAGTGTGGGCGCACGCTACATTTCAATGTTCTTTTGGACCATCCATTTTCTGCGCACAAGGTAAGTTTACAGAGCTCTGAAGACACATATCACAAGCAAACATGACACACCGTTTTTCTTCTCTCGCTCTTCAAGGGATGGATTGGGACAGCTCGCTTTACAAGTGTACAATATACAAAAACATCATACAAATCTGATATACCTCTTTCTTAGCGTAAAGTCGTAAAAGTCATTGTTTGTCAAGAGCTACTGCGCAACACAGAGAAGCGTCTAACTAGTTCTCTAATTAAGCCACGAAGAGATTCTGCACACTACAGTCGAACCTCGATTATCCAGATCACTGGGGACTGGCCCGAATAGTCCGGATAGTCGAGAGTCTGGATAATGGAAAATATTAATATTAATGAGTCATTACTGAATACATTTGTAAACCGTAACACTTAATCAAGAATCATGCATGAATGAACCACAATCATAAGCCATTTCTGATTACAATTTACTACTGTGCGTGTTAGGCGCGTTTAAGATCACTCGGGAAATAACCTTGCCCAAAATTGTCTTTTGATGCGAAACAAATTCAGTTCTGACTGGAATTTTATAACTCAGTTAGGCGTATGATAGCTTTCCTATGGATAATAAATGTGCCTAATTAATATTCATGAAAAAAGGGGACCAGAAAAGCTAGTCCGGATAATCGAGAAATCCGGATAATCGAGGTCCGGATAATCGAGGTTTAACTCTACAAGGGCGCAAATCAACAAGTGTAAGCCACATGAAAAACAGTTCATGGGCGCATGATTCTCTCAATAGCTCTTTTTCTTAGGCCACTGTGAAGCGAATCCGCTTAAAGCCTGCGTCACCAACCGTGGTCAGTAACCTGGCGGCAGCGTTTCGAACGCGCTGTAACCTATTAACGTGTATAGCAGGCAAACCATATAATTTTGCATTACAGTTGTCGATTCTGCTTATAACAAAATATTTCACTGATGACTTTGCAGCTTCAAAGGGCAGATATTTTCTTATACGCCTTATGTATTTTCCTATACACCTAATTTTCTTATACGCCATATGTTGGACATAAAAAACCACGCTCTCAAGATAGCATACACAATCGACTCGCTGTAAATATGCAAGCCTCCCAAAAACTTTTATCCTGAACAATCGGTTAGCCATTAATGTATGATCCTGCCCAATACAGGGCCACATTTCGACTTCACTTTTCACTGGTTCTTTGGTTTGTTTGTATGTTTGTTTGTTTGTTTGTTTGTTTGTTTTTTTCGGTTTTCTCAATACTGCCAAAATGCTCTCTTTTGTTCATCGCTTATAATTCTTAGTCAAATTTGTCACTGACGGACTCGCTGATACTGTAAGGTTGTATTAACGGAGTCGGACCTCGCGTGAGAAAACACTATCACAGCACATAACTTCTAAAAGCGGAAAGCAGTTTTTTGGAGAAATAGCGAGAGATGAGCTGAAGTGTGATCCACTCAATGATTGTCCTTCCGTAGGAAAAAAATCACAGGATTGTGTGTGATTCCCAGGGATTTTATCCCTCCAGAATAGGTCCTCTCATTCTTGCCACAAAAAACCAAAATGTCATTTGTAAATCCAGAAATCAGTAGTTTAAAGTTCAAGTTCAAGTTCAAGTAAGGATATATCTTTCAATTTCTCAGTAGTTTTTTCTAGTCCGTATAGCTAGGAGTCAAGGAAAAATGGACTTGCACTTTCCACTTCGAAACGCTGCAATCACATTCTAGGACCTCTCTGTTAGAAATGTGTTAAAGAAACTCCCACCAAAAGAAAGCCGAGTGTCAATATGGAATAAAACATTGGAAGAAACACCTGTTCTTGTTGCGTGCAGCAACCTACGCGCAAAGCGATTTCCCACGCACGCATCGTTCCTCGGCGTGTGCTTACATCTTTCTGTTTTTTACTCTTATCTACAACATACCAGTCTACGAATTAATTAACAATAGTATTCTAGAATTTGCTGCCAAAAGACAGGCCTTGCAAACATAATCCTCGATCTTGTCTGAGTTTGCAATTGGCTCATTACTTGAGACTTGTCACTTCAACCCTCACTTTCCTCATAAGATATCTGCTGAGTTCTTTTCTATTAGTAATGAAATACCGCTTCATATGACAGTTTATTTTAACTCAGGGTTGCACGCACAATATTCTCTTGGACTTCCTATTACCATTTTCACTACTTCCTCATACGTGGTATATTAACAAGTTTCGTCGCTAAACCCTAAGGTAAGTTTATAGAATTTCTATTCAAAATGTTTTGAAATTACCATTTTATTTGCATTCTCTTTTCCCACAATAAAGAGATCATTATATAAAACCTCAACTAAAGATAATAAAGGCTGACGTTGTGTTGTTACATAAGAAAATGAAGACTTCAATGCATTGAATACTGAGTTCAGACATCTATCTTGAATTTTATTGCTGTTTTCAAGGAAAACCCGTTACCAGACGGGTGAATTCCGTGCTAAATTGCACTTCACAACCGATATCGCACGAATTACCTCGCTATTCGAACATTATCGGTTCTTGCGTGAAATTCAACGCCAAATTCTCTCGTTAGGTAATGGATTTTGCTATGGAACTTGAGATGAGTAGTAGGCATAGGGCGGGTTCTGGCGCATTTTCGATAAAATTATCATGAATTCTCGTTAATTTAGCACTCACGGGTTTTTTGTCATTAATTTAGCGTAGCTTCACGCTAAGATATATTCTCGTTAAAGGATTGATTATGCGTCAATTCTATGCGTGAATTTGCGTTAATTTATTCGATGGGTTTAAATTTATCTCTCGTTAAAGGATGATTTCTTGGCTCAATTCTATGCGATAAATCTCGTCAATTTACTCGCTAAGGTTATTTCACGTTAATTTAGCGATGCTTCACGTTAACATATCTAATGTGTACTTAATATTTGGTCCTCATTCACTCTCAGTAAATTAATGTAGTTTTTACGTTAATTGCGTGACTGTCTGTCTGCGGTTTTATGCAAATTTGAATCAGACAGACTAGATGTGATGATGTAATCTATGATGTAATCATTCGTGAAGGTAACGCGCCGGTCTCGCGTGTAAAGTGTAGCATGTGAACACTGATTTGCATAAACCGCAAACAATGGGCTGATCACGTGCAAAACAAAAGAAACATTCCAGACGTCCCTAGTAACCCAGGGTTTGAAACTGGCTTCAAAAATTTATTTTTGGCATCTCCGTTACTAGGGACGTCTGGAATGCAATCTATTGTCTTTCACGTGATATTATCACATGATCCATTGTATCTAAAGTGGCGCCTCGTGATTCGCGTTGCGCGTTCGATTGTTTGTAAGTAGTACCTCATGATTACCTCATGATTACGATGTAATAAAAAACCTGAGCGCAATAATCAATTTAATTTATTCACATCACGTTTTACATCAAAAAAATTATCTTGCCCACTAAGAAATATTCATCATGGATATCGCTGCCTTTTCAAGAAACTTAGATCTCAAACTCGAAAACGCTCGAAAAAGGGAGGAAATCAGACAGACCGTGCAAGCATTTAACGATGCTAAACAAGGTCTTGCTCTCCAACGCGAGGAAGAATTCAAACCGATCACAGACGAGGTTAAACAGGTCAAACAAACAATAGACGAGCAACAAAACAAGCTCATTCCGAAATTGGATGAAAATCAAAAGGCTATCACTCAAGATCTATCTTTTCTCAAAGAGCTAGACAGCTCTATAGGAGCTGAATCACCACCAGATTCTCCCACAGCTCTTGAAGCACCTCCTAAACCGAAAACAAAAGTCCCTCACCCTAATATCGGCTTTAGTCAAGACGAACTTGAATATATTCAAAAGAGCGGCTTTCCCGCACCGAATGATGCATACAAACGAATACTCAAGAAGGATTTCGATCATGATAGGCTCCAGATAGATTTGATTGATAAAATCAAGAGAGCAAACCATGTGAAGGCCGGTCTCTCGAAGAATAAGGAGAAAAATAAGGATAAAATCGATAATATGCAACAGATCGACACGTTGAAAAAATATGCCGACCGCATTAATTTACTCTCGGGTGGAGAGAAAATACTTGTCACGCAACAGGGCAAGGGCCACTCAAAGCGTAAATACATGCAAAAGAAGCGAAACGCTTACAAGATTGATAACAACGGACAATTCGGCGGTCTCTTGATCAACCCCACTCGACTCTTAAACGAAATGATGGTTGAAGCGATCAGCCCTTCAACCGGTTCTGTTGTTTATGAAAGACAGGGTGACAAAAGCATCGTCGATCTGTTGACAAAGAGATTTAATCCGAAAATGAATTACTCACAAAAATCGATGGAAATATTCAAAGATCCCACCAAACTCGCTAACCTTCCGATGCATAAAACGTCTGGGAAAGCGAAAATGACTGGAGGGGTTATATTTACCGATTTCAAAGATCTGAAAGACAGATTAAAGAAATTAACAGGCTCTATAGACGCAGGCAACTCATCTATCCAATTACGTAACGAAGTGATTGAGATTTTGGAGCATCTCGTTAAGAAGAACGAAATTTCGAAAGAAGATTATTCAGCCTATATACAAAAACATCTAACGTAATGGATAAACTTTCAGAATTAGTAGAATTGAATAAGGAAATGTTGAAAATGATGAAGCAAGAAGTATCGCTTCATAGATCTCCAACACCGCTAAACCTGAGCTCTTTGAATTGTTCGCGTGGGCCAAGCCACGATTTCACAACAACATTCAATCCTGTGATGAGGTTTGACCCAAACATAGGAAAACATAGAAAATTTATTTCATGAGCATGAAATAAAAATGGTTCGAAAGCAAATGAAAAGAGATGCCATCACCGGCAAAATCGTATTACAAAATATTAATGATGATTACTCACTTCAAGAAGGTGAAGGAATTTTCGACACTCTCAAAAGTGTCGGTTCGAAAGTAGCTGCGAAGGTCACAGGTAAAGCTGCGAAGGAGCTTGCAACGAAAGCGGCAACGAAAGCGCTTGAGAAAGGAGCGGAGCAAATCGGAGAGAAGAGGGGGCAATTACTCGGTGAGAAAATCTATGATAAATTTACAACACGAAGCGCTGAAGTCACACCGCAAGTCACGCCACAGAAAGTTCTCGAAGTCACACCGCCACCGCTAGTCACACAAGGTGAAGTAAAGAAAGACAAAGGAGAACAGCTTGTAAAGCTACTCCAAAAAGAGTGGACAAAAAAAGTGTCGCCATCACCCTCAGTACGTAGTACTAGTACTAAAAGTACTAAAAATAAAAAAGAACCCTCGGGTGTGTTTTCAGACTTCGCTGAACTTTTTTTGTAATAAAAAAATCTTGTCTCTCTAACAAAATCAATCATCATGTCATCGATGCGTACACCAAAATACGCCCAAGGCTATGAATTTCGCAGCTATGAACTCGATACTCCGCTGCAATCAGCGCCAGCCAACAACACTTATCAGCAGAAAGACGGCTACAAATTTACCGTAGATACTACTACGGCCTCTGAAACAGCTGTCGACTGGTATAATGCATATTTCGAAATGGATGTCAAGCTCACAAAGATGGACAACACCACTTACGGTGCCGCTGATGCCGCCGCTATTATCAACGGAGGTTTCAGTCTAATTGAAGACATCAAAATCTCTTTCGACAGTACACGCGCGCTCGATCTCCCAAACGCAAATCATGCGGTGAATGTGAAAAATCTCACAGAAATGACCGATGAACATGCGAGGAAGGTAGGCCCCCGGTAGTTTTTTTACAAGGACACTGGCAGTGGAGCTGTGATCCAGAAGTATACAACCCTCCAACTTACTGGAGACGCGCAAAACATTGCATCTACAGACAACGCAGCTTATAACGAAGGCTTTGCCAAACGAAAGGCTCTTCTCGCCACAGGTGCGGAAAATAACATTCACCTACCGCTTAACAGGTTTGGCTTTTTCGACTCTCTGGAGGAACAATTAGCCCCCAACGGAAGAGTTTCATTTGATGTTAGGCTTGAAAGCGATGATAATGTCTTTTTCAGATCGAATGCCGCCGCCGCGGGACGTTACATCGTAACCAAGTTCAAATTATGGGTGCCTATCATCAAATTCAACGAACTTGGGGTTAAGGCATATATGGGTAATTATCTCAAACCCCACACATGGACTTATCTGAAAGAGCAGATCGTCTTTTCGAATCCGCTTCGACAGGGGTCGGGGACGTTTCGGATGTCCAACGCTGTGAGAAGGCCGAGACATGTGTTCGTTTGGGTGGTGAATGCCTCAAAGTTTTCAGACCAGGAGCAAAATATGCTCACGTTCAACACGTACAATATAGCTAACGCGCGATATTTTACCAAAGCTCAACTCAAGGTTGAAAACGGTGAGCGATACCCTGATACCCAGCTGGATCCAAACAGCGAAATCACACGCGCATGGAGTAGGCTTGCGACCTACTCAGATTTTACAAGCAACGAGCTCATCGGCCCCGCCATCGATCTGAAGGAGTTTCAGGATCTCTTTGGGCTCTTGTATTTTGACCTCACAAAACAGAAGCCAGAGTTGCTAACAGTTACAACAGGATTGGATTTCGAGTATTCTCTGAACAACAACACCAACCCGGACTATCACATCTATGCGCTTATTTTGAACGAAGGGGATGTTAGTATTGAATCTATGTCCGGGAAGGCAGTGGTCAGAACTTAGGTTGACTTTTCGTCTTTTTTCTGAAATTTATAATACGAACCGTATTATAAAAACATGACAACTTATCACCCTCACGGAGTATCACTTAGTGAAAATCAGAGAAAAAAGCTTGCTAAAGCAATCAACGAGAATTCGGAAATCACTCTACGCCTCTCACACAATGCGTTGAGCGGCCCCGATGAGATGATGCTTACGTAGACACAGATCAACAAGATCCGCAAAGCAGCATCTGCTGGAAAAGGTGTTGATCTCAAAATATCGAAAACTCAATTATCTAAGGTTGCGCAGGAAGGCGGTAGCTTATTCTCTTCTCTTCTAGTGCTTGGTTCGAAAGTATTACCTAAAGTAATACCGACTGCTACGAAACTATTATCGAAAGTCGCCCCAGGATTGGCGACAGGAGCGCTCACAAGTATAGGCAATTTCACCACAGACAAATTTCTCGGTGCTGGGACTCAATCAGGCGGTTTTCTAGTACCAAACTCGAAAATTGAACAGCTCATAGCTTATAAGGATTTTCTCACAGAGAAACAGAAGAAAGACAT